ACCTCATGCGAAGAGTTGACTCATTGGAAAAGACCCTGATGCTGCGAGGGATTGGGGGCAGGAGGAGAAAGGGCGACAGAGGATGAGATGGCTGGATGGCATCACCGACTTGATGGACATGAGTTTGAGTAAACTCTGGGAGTTGGTGATGGACAGGGAGGCCTGGCATGTTGTGATTCATGGGGTCGCAAAGAGTCAGACACCGCTGAGCAACTGAAGTGAACTTAGACAGTACTGCATACCTATAGCAATGGCTAAAATAAAAAATTGTGACAACACCGAAAGATGGCAAGGATGTGGAGAAACTGGATCACTCATACATTGCTGGTGGGAAATCAAAGCGGAACAGTCACTCTGAAAAATAGTTGGGCAGATTCTTAAAAACCTAAACATGCAACTACCATACAACCTAGCAGCTGTACTCCTAGGTATTTATCCCGGAGAAATTAAGACTTAGGTTCACACAAAAAGCTGTAAATAAAGGTTCAAAGCAGCTTAGTCCCTTTCAGCTGCTTTACCAGAAATGTCATAAACTGGGTGGCTTATAAACTTTTTATAAGGCTTTTTATAAAAAAAAATCCAACACTTGTGTGATAACCATTCAAGACAGAAGATCTAAGTAATACTTACATTACATGAATATGTATATATGTGTGTATATCTGTCCTAAAATGAGCATCTTAGTGGGGAAATACTGAATTGAACTGACTGAAGTTTTCTTGATTTATTAAGTAAATATCTTTTCGATTCTCTATCTTATTAACTTGTGATTTTATCTTTATTATTTTATTCTTTGTGCTTTTTATTTACTTTTTGGTTCTTTTTCTAGTTTTAGGGACTGGGAAAACTCATTTATTTTCTTTCCTTTTTCAGTTCAGTCACTCAGTCAAGTCCGACTCTTTGCGACCCCATGAACCGCAGCACGTCAGGCCTCCCTGTCCATCACCAACACCCGGAGTCCACCCAAACCCATGTCCATTGAGTCGGTGATGCCATCCCACCATCTCATCCTCTGTCGTCCCCTTCTCCTCCTGCCTTCAATCTTTCCCAGCACCAGGGTCCTTTCAAATAAGTCAGCTCTTCGCATCAGGTAACCAAAGTATTGGAGTTTCAGCTTTAGCATCAGTCCCTCCAATGAACACCCAGGACTGATCTCCTTTAGGGTGGACTGGTTGGATCTCCTTGCAGTCCAAGGGACTCTCAAGAGTCTTCTCCAACACCACAGTTCAAAAGCATCAATTCTTCAGTGCTCAGCTTTCTGTATAGTGCAACTTTCACATTCATACATGACCACTGGAAAAACCATAGCCTTGACTAGACAGACCTTTGTTGGCAAAGTAATGTCTCTGCTTTTTAATATGCTGTCTAGGTTGGTCATAGACAAGTAAATCTCACAAAATCTGCTATGCAGAGTCTTCACTGGCATTTTTTTCAAAATTCTTAATTTCAACTTATATTTCTGTTTCACCCAACACTTGTTCAATAGATTATTTATTTATCCCCAGGTGAAAGGCCCCTTTAAAGAAAAAAATTATCAAATTCTATTATTCTTTTCCATTTTGATCAGAATACTACCTGTAATGTATGTACATCCATCACGGATACTGACCTATCATTTTCTTTTCTGTGTGATATCTTTGTCTGGTTTTGGTATCAGGGTGATGCTGATCTCATAGAATTAGTTCAGAAGTGTCCCTTCCTCTGCAGTTTTTTGGAATAGTTTCAGAAGGAGAGGTGGTGACTCTTCTCTAAATGTTTGGTAGAATTCACCTGTGAAGCCATCTGGTCCTGGACTTTGGTTTGCTTGAAGTTTTAAAATTATTGATTCAATTTTATTACTAGTAATGCATCAGTTCATATTTTCTATTTCTTCCTGGTTCTGCCTTGGGAGATTGTACATTTAGGAATTTGTCCATTTTTTTTCTTGCTCATCCATTTTACTAACTTTCGTAATCTATTACGATTCTTTGCATTTCTGTGGTGTCAGCTGTAACTTCTCCTTTTCCATTTCTGATTTTATGGATTTGGGTCTCATCTTTTTTTTCTTGATGAGTCTAGCTGAAGGTTTATCAGTTTTGTTTATCTTTTCAAAGCACTACCTTGAATTCTTAAAACCAACACAGTATTCTTTAGGGTAATTAGGTTCACAAAGAAACTGAGCATGAAATGGTATAGAGATTTTTCATATTCATACACCTCCTACCCCTGCACATGCACAGTCTCCCATTATTAACCTCCCCCACTAAAGAGTACATTTGTTACAACGGATGAACCTACATGAACACATAATTATCACCCAGAGTCCACAGTTTATATTAGGGTTCACTCCTAATACTGACGATCCTATGGGCTGCACAAATGTATAATGACATGTATCTACCATTTTAGTATCACTGGAGCCATTTCATGGCCCTAAAAATCCTGTATGTGCCACCCATTCATTCTTCCCTCCTCCTCCACTCATTTCTTTTTTTTTCCTTAACAAATTTTACTTTATTATTATTTGTGGCCACACCACACAGCATGCAGGATCTTAGTTTCCTGACCAGGGATCAAACTCCACACTCTCAGCAGTGGAAGAGCAGAGTCTTAATCATTGGACCACTAGGGAAGTCTCACATTTGTTTTAATAGTATAAAAATACTCATTATTAATCTCATCTTACTGATATTAAAATGCCTAAAATTAGAAATTAGATTAAAAGTTTGAATGAATGTATTTTTATATGAAAAACTGTCATAAAGAAATCCACTCATAGTATTCATTAGGTTTTTTAAACATACATACTCTAAATAATGACAGTTTACTCTTTTCCATTGACATTAGTGCCCCTAAGACACTCTAATATGCTATCTTTATTGTCCACATCATCAAAGAAAGATCTGTTTGTATTTAATATACACTGTTCACTAAACTAGTAACACAGACTAAGGCCTTTCGAGAACATGTCAACAACTATCTTAAAAGAAGCAGGAAATTCATTTTATCACAATTTTCCCATTGCCTGAGACTTCTGGTTAACTGAATTTTTACTTTATACTACCAATAATTTGTTCCTCACAGTCTATGACACTTCTTATATATACTTATTCTATCAACAAATATTCTGTCTATAATCCATCAGACTCTAACAATATACTGGTGAAAATATGCACAAGATATCCCACCCTCATGTGTGGTGAAAGCATTTGTCACCCAGTCATGTCTGACTTTTTGTGGCCTTCCAGGCTCCTCTGTCCATGGAATTCTCCATGCAAGAATCCTGGGGTGGGTCACCATACCCTCCTCCAAGGGATCTTCCCAGCCCAGGAATGGAACCCAGGTGTCCCACACTGCAGGTGGACTCTTTACTATCTGAGCCACCAGGAAGCTACCCTTATAAGCTTAGATCTTAGTGGGGAGTTACAGGTAAGGATCATAGCATAATGTATGGCAATACATATGGTAAGTTCCTGGGACGGGAAGACAGGGAGACAGGTGGTGAATTAAGGTACGGCAGTCAATGAGAACTACTTTAAAGAGCTGATATTTGTACAGAGACCTGATAAAGAAGTTGCCATGGAAAGATTTTAAGAAAGGCGTTTCAGGGCAGTGGGAAAAGGAAGTGTAAAGATAGCTGAGGCAGAAACCAGCTTGGAGGGAGTCTGGAGGTCAGTTTGCTGTGGTGTAGAGAACAAACAAAAGAATGGACCGATATGAGGCAGAAGCTGGTAAGGATCAGATCACGAGGAAGCCACGAAAAGCAGTTTGGGTTTTATTCTGACTGGCACTGACAGCAGTTACAGAATTTCACAGTGGGTGGCAACAGATTCTGACTTATGTTTTTAATGATTACTGATTGCTAAATGGAGAATGGACTGAGAGGAGGCAGGAATGAGAGGAAAGCAGTCCATCCAAGAGGCTTGATTCAGGTGGCCTAGACCACAGTAGCAGTAATGGAGAGGATGAATCAATACATGCAGCATGCATCGCAGTTAGAGGGCAAAGAGCAGTGTCTAGGATAACGCCTGCGGTGGTGTCATTTACTGCCACAAAGACGACAGAGAAGAAAGGAGGCACAGAAGAAAACAGTTCCTTTGAAGTAAGGAACTGTCTTTCCCTAGACCTCACACACATCACCAACTGAGAAAAGCAGAGGAAAAATATGTGAGCATCAGATCATTCCAGCACCAGCTATCTAATCCAAAGTGTTAGAGTCACACACCTAGCCTATAGTTGGGGGGTGGGAGTGGGAAAGGAAAGAATTTTGAACCAGCTATTCTACTGAAGTTTAAAAGCAAATAGATGGTGTCTCGGAAACTGAAATGTGATCATATGATTCAAAGTGAGCTCAAAAGTTATGAAACTGAATCAACATGTTCATGAAAGTACAACTCAATGGAAAGAGGAGTGGTTAGAACACAGCTGAAAGCAGTAACAGGAAAGAAGATGACTCTTCTATGTTTATTCCCCAAGTTTTTCAGAATATTCAGAAAATGAAATACCAAAAGGAACTCGAGAATGAGTAATCACCAGCTGGATCAGAAACTGCTGAGAAGTTTAACAGGGTAAAGACAGGGGACTGATGTCAACGATACGGCAGCAGCTGATCACCTTATAAAATGCATTTTAGTAAGTAGCAGAGACACAAAAGCCAAATTGGAGTGGATAAAAAAGAACACAGGGAAGTGAAGAAATAAAGGTTAACAGTTACAGAATATCTTTTGAGAACTTTAGCTACAAACACATGAGATAAAAACAAGAGTCTACGTTTTTTAATCATAAAGTGACGTTTGCTCAGTCGTGTCCGACTCTGCAACCCCGTGGGCTGTAGCCCAGCAGGCTCCTCGGTCCATGGGATTCTCCAGGCAAGAATAGTGGAGTGGGTTGCCACTTCCCAGTGGCAGCTTAATTTCTAGCATGCTTCACAGAAATGTCACTATTATTCTTTAGCAATCTTCTGCAACAAAAATATGTACAGTGCAGAAAAACATAATTTTCAAATAGATTTTTTTTCTTACCTTCACTGATTAAATTTAATGTGTCTTGTTTTCCATCTCCTTCTTGTGACTGACCTGGATCCAGTGAAGTCTGAGAAAGGCTAACCTCAGCTGATAACTGGTCAAGGCTCTGATAACTTTTTCTGTAAGACAAAGGTGAAATACTACTTTAACTTCTTCCCACAATAAAAAATTTCTAGAGATATTCTTTAATGGTTTTCTCCAATTTATTGAATTTCGGGTTCATTTCTCCCCATTTGCCCCCTAAACTTCATCTGTATCATGGTGGCAATAGAAACTGTTATATCTTTCCCTCTGCCCTCTTTGGAGGTTGTTAAATCCACTAAAAGAAGAAAAGAGAAACAACCTGTCAAACAAATTCAATTCCTTACATCTATTTTTGATGATCAGGTTAGTAAAGAAATAGGCACTTCTGGTCATTGTCAATTGTCAAAGGTGCAGAAAACCTCAAGTCTCTCAATACACAAATGAAACTGACATAATTTTTGTTATGAGGATTGTGTCTCCTAAGCACAATACCTTGCTACTATTACAGATGATTTTTACATAAAAATAACAAATTATTGTTAACAATTCCTGTAACTGAGAAATTAAAAAATGCTGGGTAGTAAAATACCTGTTTGTGTTAATACACCTTCAAGATGATTAACCTCCTTCCATCATCTATTGACAACTGTGAGCCCATTTTATTTCTTTAAAAAATTTATTTATTTTTAATTGAAGGATAATTGCCTTACAGTAATGTGTTGGTTTCTGCCAAAAATCAAGATGAATGAGCCCATCTTCTATTAAATAAATTCACTAAAAATAAATTATAACATGAAAATTCAGTTATGAATGGAAAGTTAATGAATGTTTATGTGTAAATGTTCAAATCTTCCTCATATTTGTTTTGTCAACATAAAACCAACTCAAGAGATATATGCAGCTGTGGTATTACTGACATTTCAGGTATGTGACAAAATTCAGTATTATTTCTAAATATAAATGATCCAGGAAGAGGAACACATCTTTCGGGTTCAACATTTATTTCCAAAGGTAGTCAAACCCTATCTAATTTCCTAGAAATGCTATAATAATATTGTAGAAAATATATATAATCTAAGTGATCTATGACATAGCTCTTCTCTATTCATACACACAAGAGGAGGCTCACAGATTTATCTGCTGTGTGTGTATTAAGTATGAGGGGGATACAGCTGGCACCTATTTGTCTTTTCCTTTAAGAAATGAGATGAAGGATGAGGTGATGGAATAGCTTCCTAGCTTACAACGTGAGCACTTTCTCACTTTACAACAGTGATGACTTTTCAAATGTTGAGAGTCTAAAAGTTCTTACTCATAATTTTAAATAGCAAGATAGTCTCTGTAGGAAACTTCTGATAATTGTAACAGATAACACACATATATAACACATAACAAAAAATGATACCCAATATTTATATAGCACTTATCAAATGCTAGGCGCTGTTCTACATGTGCATATATATTAACTTCCTTAATGCTCATGGCTACCAGAAGAGGTTGGAATTATTATCATCCCCAGTTTACAGAAGAGGACTGGGACACAGGAGATGAGATTTGCACCTGGTAGCCTGATATCTAATTTCCTAGAAATGCTATAATAATATTGTAGAAAATATATATAATCTAAGTGATCTATGACATAGCTCTTCTCTATTCATACACACAAGAGGAGGCTCACAGATTTATCTGCTGTGTGTGTATTAAGTATGAGGGGGATACAGCTGGCACCTATTTGTCTTTTCCTTTAAGAAATGAGATGAAGGATGAGGTGATGGAATAGCTTCCTAGCTTACAACGTGAGCACTTTCTCACTTTACAACAGTGATGACTTTTCAAATGTTGAGAGTCTAAAAGTTCTTACTCATAATTTTAAATAGCAAGATAGTCTCTGTAGGAAACTTCTGATAATTGTAACAGATAACACACATATATAACACATAACAAAAAATGATACCCAATATTTATATAGCACTTATCAAATGCTAGGCGCTGTTCTACATGTGCATATATATTAACTTCCTTAATGCTCATGGCTACCAGAAGAGGTTGGAATTATTATCATCCCCAGTTTACAGAAGAGGACTGGGACACAGGAGATGAGATTTGCACCTGGTAGCCTGGCTCTATGGAGAAGGCAGTGGCACCCCATCCCAGTACTCTTGCCTGGAAAATCCCATGGACGGAGGAGCCTGGTAGGCTGCAGTCCATGGGGTCGCTACGAGTTGGACATGAATGAGCAACTTCACTTTCTTTCTTTATTTCGTAGCTAAGTTGATAAAGAATCTGCCTGCAAGGCAGAAGACCCAGGTTCAATCTCTGGGTTGGGAAGATCCTCTGGAGATGGAAATAGTAACCCAGTCCAGTATTCTTGCCTGGAGAATCCCATGGACAGAGGAGCCTGGCGGGGTACAGTCCATGGGGTCGCAAGAGTCGGACACAACTTAGCAACTAAACCACCACCACCAGATACACCAAGCCAGGTAACAGTCTGTTCCTATTTCTCAGAGTGAAATCTTTTAAACAGCAAGAGCTTAATCAAAATAAGAACCCAGATAGTAAGAGTCATGCATTGACTATATAAAAGTTCGCAGTTTACTCTATGCCATTACATTGTTAAATATAATTTAAAATTGTAGGAACTGTTGTGAGCACTTGAGACATAATAAAATTCACAGCATCCAATTTCTTACTATAGGAACATTTAAAAACCACTCAAATTCAAACTTCTATATATAGAACTGGGTACCAAAATAAAGGCAAATTAAAGGAAACTGAGTGATAACGTCAATGCAATTATAAGTAAATTTTTCTACAGTCTTATACTTCATATCAATGCATACACAATGATGTGGCTAATTTACATTACTTATTTTCCCATTAGATATCTTGAGGTCAGTAATAATTTATATTATCTGGTAGTTACTGGACAACAGAGTGTGATAAACAGAAGAATAAACTATCCATATGTGGAAAATAGAAACAAATATATGCACTCAATCTATACACAGAGGCACATTACTGTGCATGGAAGTTGTTCTTTTTATTCTTGGTTTGATTTCCACAGAAGTATGGTTAAGGAACAAAGTAAGCATTTGCTACAGCAGAACATCTATAAATACTTAATTTACTAAAAATGGAAGGATGCAAGGGAGCTTAAAAGAAGACAAAATGTGAGTCAGGTCAATACAAAACATAATTTGTAAAAGATTTCTACAACCTCAGTGCTTTAATAGACACACATGAGAAGGAGAACCTGGAATACACATGAAGTGATTATATCAAATGCACTGGAAATCATTAAGAAAAATAGGCCTAAATAGTAGATCATGAAGGGCATAAAAAACCCTCATAATTCTTAATAATTTTGTGAATGGAAGCCAAATTGGGAGACAATGATAAATTTAGAAGCCTAAAAAAAAGTGTAAGTAGAAGATACATATATGGTGACAATGGATCTGATCTGGAATAGGAATAATCTAACAAAGTTATATAACAGATAATCTAACAAGATTATATAACAGATATTTAACAAGCTCATGTGACCTAGACTTTGCATATAAAGACATATATTAAAACAGAACTTAGTGGAAAGAAAAAAGAATCAATTGCTCGGTGTGTGTGTTAGGGAGTGTGCCTTACATATTTATTTATTGTTGAGCTTTTACAGTAATGCCTTAAATGCCTTAAAATTTTTTAACATGATATGCCAATGTTTGAAGTAAAGGAAGAGATATAATAAAATCCTATATAACTAATCTTGTCAGTCTAAATAATCTAGAAATAAATTTGAAATGATATGTTTAAAGCTTTATAAACAGTGTAGTAAATAGAAATAAATTTAAGATCTCTTGTGAAAGGGGTCCTTCCATGACAAGGTGATCACAGCCAAGTTACCCAACAGGTCATTTTACCACAAAATTCATTACATCAAATAGCACACTCTCTTTTTTCTAAAACCCAAGTGGGCAAATACATTTACAGAGCCCTGGAGAAGTTAACTTACAGACCTTCCATATCCTTAGCATGAAATTTCAATGACTCATTACAGGGTCAGTTTCTTTCTCCATATTATTAAGAGAGCTAATGTTCCCTGTTAAGGAGGCTCTGGCTACCTCCTTCATGATCTGCAGTTTCTCACAAATGTTTGTTGGACTTATTTAAGACACTGATAAAATGAAGAGGAATTGGTGATCAGGTCAGTTCAATGACTTTGGCCTGTATCATAAATCTGAGGAAAGCAAAAACTGTATCTTGATGAAAAGCTATGATGTGTTTCAAACATGATTTATATACAGCACTACTCTGTTCTGAAAATCCATTTCTACATGAAAATGTCCATTTCTAACATGAAAAAGTTGCTATTATTTATTTCGAACAACTGGGAATTTGTTGGTCATTTTAAATTTAGATAGGGCTTTAAGAGCTCTCTAAGAAATAGCAGGATATCAGGTGAGTGGATATTGTCTAAACATGAAAGACATAAGGCTATATAAGAGTCCAAACAGAAAATATTAAAAGACTATAAATAAATAAAGTTTCATCAGAAAGGGATTAGGTGCCAAGCAATTTACTGCCTCAGATGAATCTTACAATTCCGTTTAAATAAGCATTACCCCCACGCCAGTACATGTGCATAAACAAAAGCAAGGAGTCACGCTTAGTGTTAAATGGCAAGGAAGCAACAGAAACACTCTCAAATCCTGACTTTAGGTACGGGGATGTCAGCACTGACCCAAGTGCGTACTTTTGCTCAGGGATATCAGTTTGGCAACAGGGTCACAGAAAAGCAGTGCCAACATCAGAGGTCTGGCTAGATTAAAAACTGATGATGCTAAGAAGGAACGGGTATCCTTTCTTAACCTAATGGAGAAACCAAGTCAAGAGGAACAAAATCTGGATCCATTCTAAACAGGCAGTTTCGCTGGATTCTTTTCTGAGACTGCAGTTACTCTTGTTGCTGCTACAATATTTTGTAGGAGACAGCCACTATTACTGCATGCAGAGGTAACCCAGAAAAAATCTTCCACTTGGAGGTCCTCACTGGTGCCCCAGGGGACAGCTCTATGGGCAGGCAGTGGTATGTACATGTCTTTCTGCTAAAACTTTTTACCACCCACTATCTAAAGTGACAACATAGATGTTGTAATAAAAAGCACAGTTACTAGTCTTTTAATTTGTCAGGATATATTAATATTTTTGCAGTTATAATAGCAGGAGCATCTTATGTGATAGATAAGTATACCAAGTATTGCTATAAATTCAGGATTTCAATTATAAATTAGAAATACAAATAAATATTTTTGCATACATTAAATGTGTCACAGAAAGATAAAATTATATACTAGAATAATAAGATATATTCCAGTTATTTAAATCTTTCATAGGATATAAGGGGAACTAGGTTCCAATCCATGAAAGACCCAGGCAACACCTTGAATCATACTCAGTGTGGTGCAGAAGATGATGAAGAGAGTTCTACTGATTCATTTTGTAAATAACTGGCTGATATTTCCCTACTTATCTCTAACAATCAATGAAACTAATAGGCAAGTAAACATAAAAGCCTCCAGCAATCTTTTTTAAACAAAAAAAGGTAAAAATGTATTTTGAGTTCTATCTCTGAAATGAGAAAAATCACAGAGGAAAGTGGGCAGAAATTAGGCCTGTGCTAAGACATTCCTTGTAGTTTCTACAAGGAAATGTAGTGTCAGACCACTAATTACCTAGTGAAAGGTGGCCTAAGAAGCACAAAAAGAAGTATATTGCTCTACCAATGAAGGGCTTCCCCGGTGGCTCAGTGATAAAGAACCTGCCTGCCAATGCAGGAGACGCAGGATACGTGGGTTCGATCCCTGAGTTGTGAAGATCCCCTAGAAGAGGAAATGGCAACCCACTCCAGTATTCTTGCCTGGGGTTAAATCCCATGGACAGAGGAGCCTGGAAGGCTATAGTCCATGGGGTTGCAAAGAGTTGGGCGTGACTGAGTATGCATGCACTACCAGTGAAATTTTAAAAAGGGCTATAAAAGAAAAGCAGAGAAAAAAACAAAAAGAGAGAAGGGGGAAAAAAAGGAAAAGAAAAGAAAGAGAAAGAGAAGAGACGGAAGCAGAGGAAGGAGGGGCAAAGGGAAGGGAAGGGAGAACCAAAGGAGATGGAGGGAGAGCAGGGAAAACCATCAGAAAAATCAGCTGAAGATATGAAAATAAAGACATTGAAAACAATTATCAAGATGGGAAAGTAACTAAAAGCCAAAAGAAGGTAACACGATTTACAAGTTCTGAAATGAAGATTACCTAAAGAAAGAGAGCCTGAGATTTTGTGGCTCTCAACAGGGGGAAACAGTAGCTAAGTAAAACAGTCCTGAATGCTGGGACAAAGAAATAGGAAAAGGATCTTGTGGCCATGGGTGGAGTGATTTTATCTTCAATATCCCCCCAAAATTAGATTTATTGAAAAATGAACAAAACTCTTTCAGACCCACCAAGAACAAGTTAATTTCTTTCTATCCTTTTATGACATGGAATTTTGTGTTTTAGAACAAGCATGAAAATTGGTTCTAATGTAAAAACAAACACCACAGCTAGAATTCAAATACAGATGGCTCATTAAATACAAGCTCACTGACATAACTGAAGGACTGCCTGAAGATTCAGTAGAGGAGTGGCTACTGTAATACTACATAAGCGTTTCTCAACATCTTTACTTCTCCAGGGTGCTGTGGCTTTGTAACATTTCCACATTCGCTGCCTTAATATAACCTTACCAAGCCAAAACAGTCTTAAATCCTACTTTTGCTCTGAGCTAATAATGAATTCAGAAAAGTATTAGAAACCAAAGTGGACAGTCATATGTTGCGGTACAACTAAGTTTGTAATTAGTTGGAAAAAAAAAAAGTGTCACACTTACTCATACCACTGTTTATTGTGTTTTCGGTAAAGCAACGTGTCCAAGGCAACGGCATTGACATCCAGAGCTCCTGGGGAAGGCCACTGGTTGGTGAGGTGGGCAGTTAGCTCTTGTCTCGATCTTAAATCATTATTCTTTAGCACAGTCCTGTGGATATTGAGATGGTGAGTGCTTTTATCTTCACTGTTCTGCAATGGCAGAGGAACCTAATGGTATCAATTTAGGCCCCCAAATTCTCCTTTTAAAAATGGCATGTTAACAGACTGGGGACAGAACTGCAGGAAGGCTGGCTGGGGCTATGACTGTTCTGTCTCCTGAACTATGTGCTTTTCATTCTTTCTCTACCTGCTGTAACAAATCGCTACCTGTGAAATTCAGGCTTCCTATCTTTTCCCCAGAGATATTACTAAAGGACTAAAGGACTCAAGCTGCACTGGACATCGTAACTAAAAAATAATGGTGATATCTTAAGAGTTACAGGTAATTAGATGCCAATAAAAACATAAAAGAGAGTGGAGATTCCATCTGTATGATTATTTAGCTTCAAAATTCACAATGTTGAAGTAATAGTAAACAAAAGAATTAAATAGAAATAAAATATAGAAAAATAGAAAATAAAAACTATGAGGTTCCTGTAATTGTTTCTGATAGAAGTGACTACCAATAAACCTTCATGAAAATAATTTCCTCAGTGACAACTACATTGAACCATATACTCTACCAGAAATTTTCTACAGAATGAAGCCACTGTAACAACTCATGGTTTTATTTTCATCTTCTGTAGAGCTGTTACTCATTAATACAACTTGGAAAAGAACTAGCTTTCTGCCAAAATTTCAACTTCACAAAACTAATTCAACATTTGAACTGTTAGCTCAATTAAAAGCATAATTCTTTTTGCAAAGCTCTAATTCTACCTCTAAAATACCTTAAAATATCACCTAGGCAATCTGCATTCTCAAGCAGGAGTCCAGGGCTTTAATGTCCCAAGGTTCTGAGCAATCAGCTCAGAAGTAGAAAGTAAAATGTGCTTGCCACTAACTTTCAGAGACCACAGTCCTGTTGTGGGTGGCAGACAGCCAGCAGTGTACTAGCTAGCAAGACAATCCTGCATTAGAGAAGGTCAGCCTGCACAATACCATTGGCTATTAACCATGATTCTAATGGAGTAATACCACTTTTAAATGTCTCTACAAGCTACAAACAAATATTCTGATTTTATAGAGATCTGATTTTATCTGTGTGCATTTAAAATATTTGTTCCAAAAAATAAAATAAAATATTTGTTCCACTATGTCCATAAAGAAACATTATCTGATGTAAACAATAGATTTTAACACCTGGTTCCCACCATCTGTGAGGAATGTGGACAGAGGAAATCCTAGCACTTGCCCTGCGGCTGTGAAACGCAAAGCTTCGTGGAGGATCCTGGTAAGCGGACCCTTGCTCTTACCACCCCCGTACACTAAGGGGCAGGCAAGCGAGCTGGTTAGGTTGAGAACCCCACCCCTGAATTCTGAATCTTGACCAGAGTTCATTTAGGGTGATAAACAGACAAGCAGTTTATTTGTTCTAGCAGTGAGGTCCTGACCAAGATGTACCAAAAAAGAGACAATCCTATTTCCCAACCGTCTGAAGGAGCTCAGCCTGCTGCTAACATTTAAGGTTAATAATTCTACAGAAAGATGCACTAAGAGAAAATTGTTTAATTTACTAAGAAAGTAGAAATAATAAATGTATTCCAGCTCATTTTTAACAACTTTCCTGTAGTATCTACCTCTGAATTGGTGGATAACTAATTTCTCTTTAGATTCTCAGTAGGAATTATTTAGGAATTTGGCCACACCCACACAATTCAACCTTATCCTCCTCAGCTTTACTGAAGTATAATTGATAATTTAAAATTGTATACATTTAAAGTAAACAACTTGATGATTTGATATACAATGTGAAATAATAATCACACTCAAGCTAATTAACACATCCAACACCTAACATAGTTAACTTTTTTGTGTGATGAGAACACTTAAGATTTACCCTCTTAGAAAATTTCAAGTATACAATAATGTTAACTACAGTCACTTTGTCATGCATTAGATCTCCAGAATTTATTCATCTTGCATAATAGAAACGTTGTACTCCTGAACTTTATCTCCCTAAATACCCCACTCTCCAAGCTCTGATAACATTTTATTTCATTTCTGTGAATTTGACTTCTTTAGAGTCCACATATAAATGGGATCATACGGTTTTTGTCTTTCTGCATCTAGTTTATTTCACTTAGCATAATGTCATCCATGTTGTCAAGAATGGTAGGATTTCCTTCATTTTTAAGGCTGCATTATCATCCATTGTATATGTTTATATATAGACACAGAGTCTTTATATATCACATATTCTTTATCCATTCATCCATGGACACATGGACATTGAAATTACCTCTACCTCTTGGTTACTGTTAATAATGCTGAAATTAACATGACAGTGCAGCTATCACTTCAAGAGAAAGGCTTTAATCTCCTAGGGCTTCCCTGAGTTCCAAAGAGATTCAAGCAGTTTTGAATTTAGGGAAATGAGGGAATGCAGAAACAAAGGAAAAGCAGTCAAGAAACAATACATAAACACAAAATTATAAAACAGAAACACATAAACAGAAAATTATAGCAGACTGACAAAAGAAATCAAAGATGATATAAACAATTGAGGAGATACATCATGTTCCTGGATTGGAAGAAATGGACATTGTGAAAATGACAATCCTACCCGAAGCACTCTACAGATTCACTGCAAGCTCTATCAAATTACCAAGGGCATTTTTCACAAAACTAAAACAAAAAAATTTCACAATTTGTATGGAAGCACAAAAGACCCCAAAAAGGCGAAGCAATGTTGAGGAAAAAGAATGGAGGTGGAGGAATCAACCTCCCGACTTCAGACTACACGACTAAGCTACACTCACCAGACAATACAGCACTGGCACAAAAGCAGAAATACAGACCAACGGAACCAGACAGAAAGCCCAGAGATAAAATCACACACCCACGGGCACCTTGTCTTTGACAAAGGAGGCAAGAACATACAACAGGAAAAGACAGTCTCTTCAATAAGTGGTGCTGGGAAAATTGACAGCTACGTGTAAAAGGATGAAATTAGAACACTGCCTAATACCACACACAAATATAAACTCAAAATGGATTAAAGACCAAATGTTAAGACCAGAAACTATAAAATTCTTAGAGGAAAACACAGGCAGAATGCTTTTTGACAAAAATCACAGCAAGATCCTCTATGAGTCACCTTCTAGAGTAATGGAAATAAAAATAAACAAGTGTGACCTAATTAAAAGTTTTTGCACAGCAAAGGAAACTATAAACAAGGTGAAGACTACTCTCAGAATGGGAGAAAATAACATCAAATAAAACAACTAACAAAAGATTAATCTCCAAAATATACAAGCAGCTCATTCAGCTCAATACCAGAAAAACAAACAACCCAATCAAAAAGTGGGCAGAAGATCTAAACAGACATTTCTCCAAAGAAGACATACAGATGGCCAATAGTCACACAGAAAAATGCTCAAAATTGCTCATTATCAGAGAAATGAAAATCAAAACTACAATGAGGTATTACATCATACCAGTCAGAATGGCCATCATCAAAAAANAGTGGATCAATTGAGAGAAACATGGAAACACATACGTTACCATATGTAAAATAGATAGCCGGTGGGGATATGCTGTATGATGCAGGGAGCCCAAATCTGGTGCTCCTTGACAACCTAGAGGGATGAGATGGGGTGGGAGGTGGGGGGGAGGTTTAAGACTGTTGATGTATGGCACAAACCAACACAATATTGTAAAGTAATTATCTTCCAATTAAAAATAAAACACTAAAAAAAAAAATAGGTCAGTGATAAAAGAGTCTTTATGCCTCCTCAAGGGATATACCTAACAACCTGACACATATGATTGAGTCATTCTGTAGGAACTAAGACCCCCCAGCCAGGCTGGGGATGGGGATGACACGTCAGGCACAAGCACTGGACCTCAGATTGGCTGAAAGGCTGATGATTAAGATTCCTGAAATACCACCCTGTTACCTTCCCACTAACCAATGAGAAGAAGGGCATGGCCCCTGCAACCCTCATGCCAACTGTCGCTTTTAAGAACCCTATGTCCTGGCTAGCCAGTAAGATGGATCCGAGACAAACCTTTGTCTTCCATCTTCTTGGTCAGCACCCTTTTGATCAACAAACCTTTCTTTGCTCCAAAGTCTGGTTGTTCATTTGTTTGGTCTCACTGTGCATGGGGGCTCATGAACTTGGGTTTGATAACAATCCTAATTTCCCTCCGTCTGGGTAAATACTCAGAAGTGGAACTGCTGGACCATACAGTAGTTCTACTTTTAATTTTTTCCCAGATGATTAGTGAAGTTGAACACCTTTCCACACATACCTGCTGAGTCATTCCTATGCCTTCTTTGGAGAAATGTCTATTCAAGTCCTTCACCTACTTAAAAAAAAATGTTATTTTTGCTACTGAGTTGTATAAATTCCTGAAATATTCTGGATATTAATTCTGTAAGGCAGCAATATTTGCCACCCTAAAAATGTGCCTCTTTGGCATGAGAATTAATTTAGGCTGATTGTTTTCAAGGAGGAAAAGACGGCTCAAAAGTCTTTCTTTTCACATTCCTCTTAGCTACCTAAAGAATTTAGATAATGGGTCTGTTCCAGGAATAGAGCTATTACTGAAAATACATACAAAGAATATGTAATCCAAGTCTATGTCCTAACCACTGATGGCAAAGAATCTGAAATTGACCAGTTCTATGAAGACCTACAACACCTTCTAAAACTAACACCAAAAAAAAAGACATTCTTCTCATCACAGGGATTGGAACACAAAAGTAGGAAGTCAAGAGATAGCTGGAATAACAGGTAAGTTTGGTGTTGGAGTACAAAATGAAGTAAGGCAAAGGCTAATGGAGTTTTTCCATGAGAACACACAGGTCATAGTAAACATCCTCTTCCAACAATACAAGAGATGACACTACACATGGACATTGTTGTTGTTCAGTCGCTAATTCATGTCCAACTCTTTGTGATCCAGTGCACTACAGCACTGCCAAGGCTTCCCTGTCCCTCA